CGGAAATACCTACGCAGAACTATCCCCATGAACAGTCCATGGAACTTTCAACTCAATTCCCGATGGTTTCCTCGACCCTGAATTCTCAACCCTGTGCACTCCTTTTGGGACATGTTATATATCCCCTTCTTAGGTTTAAGAGGATCACGTCAGGAATATTTTTCAGGGGGTTTTTAAGTGCCATAAACCCTAAACCCTACACCCTACACCCTAAACCCTAAACCCTAAACCCTAAACCCTAAAACCCTAAACCCTAAACCCTGAATCCGCGCTCCAGCGAAGGCGTAGGGCCGACGTGCGAGCGCCTGCCGTGGCAAGGAGAGCAGGGGCCCCCAGCGTTGCAAAGGAAGGGCTTTCGGGTTGAAGGGTTTAGAGAGAGAGAGAGAGAGAGAGAGAGAGAGAGAGAGAGAGAGAGAGTGAGAGGCGCAGAGAGAGAGAGAGAGAGATTGAGAGAGAGAGGGTTCAGGGTTTTGGGGTTCAGCGTTCAGGGTTTAGGGTTCAGGGTTTAGATGTAAGTTGCAAAAAGGGTTTTGAAAAGGGTCTAGATGTAAAAGGGTTTGGGGTTTTGTGGGCTTAGGGTGTTAGGGTGGAGGTTTTCATCGCGGACTGCAGGGCCTTCCTTGTAGGTTCATGGGTGGTAAAATGAGGAGGGGTCATAAGCGCCTTAAGGCTTAAGGCTAGAAACCCTAAACTCTAAACCCTAGACCGTAGAATTTGGGTTCCCTTCGCTGTAACCCTACTTAAAGCTACCTGGGAGCCTTAACGGCTCAGTGGGTTTGAGAGCCTTCCGAAACATTTTGCGAGTGACCTTTGACAAGTCTTTATGCTATATAGCTCCCTTGGGATGTTACCCCTTATGCTAAGAGTCCTGACTAGAGACTATATAATAGGGGGTACTTTAGTCCCTACTAAGGACTGTTCGCATCCGGGGGAACATCCCAACAGCTGCCCTTGTCGTGCATCCGGAACATTTGGGAAATGCAAAAACCCTCCGCACAAAGGCAATGACAACCACGGGCGACTTTAAGACTCGAGAAGCGCCCGTACCCTCAATATGAAGCCTTTGCTTGAAGGCTAGGGTTTAGGGTTTAGGGCTCAGGATTTAGGGTTTGGGGTTTAGGGGGATACCCGGGTAGCTTAAAGTAGGGTTAGAGGCACCTTGTAAGATACGTTACCTGACTTCTGACCCTGCAGAAAAAAGCTACCCTGACCCTTCAAGTGGAAACCATTCACTTCCAGCCGACTCAAGTTTTTCCACAGGGCACCGGGAAAGCTGCGGGATGGACAATGGTACCCTGGTTCTTAGTAGGGAATGAGGGAATTAGGGCTCTACATCTTCCCTTTAAGGGAGGATATAGGGTACCTGATTCCCTACTAAGAACCAGCCAGATGACTTTTCTAGGGCTTAGGCGTTGAGGGCTCATGGCTTGGGAGTTTTTGGGGCTTAGAGACCAAAAACAATCCACCCCCCCCCACCCGAAAGCACCTTTCCAGTGTCACCCAGGGCAAGAAGGCTGCCAAGGCCGAACCTGGGATCAGGATGCTTTGGGGCGGGGGGGGGGGGGGGGGGGGGGGGGGGGGGGGGGGGGGGAGGGGGGGGGGAGGGGGGGCGGAGGGGCGGTGTGTTTTAGCATTGGGCACTCGGCAACATGCAGCCCTGCCTTGATTGGTACAAAAGTGCGTGGGCTCTAATCTTGAGATGACCCGCTACCCGACACGCGATTCCACTGTTGCGCAGGCTTCAAAAGAAGGCGATGGCGACATCGTGAAGAACCTTGGCTTTCACATGCCTATGATGGTAGCGCGCGTTCTTGCCAAGCACCTGCATAAGAAGAGGATGGGTGTCTAGCAGCAGCCAGAAAGTCTGCCCGGGACAGGCGCCGAAATCTCTTCGCATTTCTTCGCATGTTACCTAGAGCTCCTCAGCATTTGAATTCCGAATCTCCCGATGTTGCCAACGAGCTTGGGCATCTTGGGCCGTAATGCTTTAGCTACAGAAAGCAAGGACACAGGACGTCAAGTTTCGAATTCCTCTGATTACGCGCAACTTGTCGCAGCGAACCCACCCCTCCCCCCCCAAACTAAAAAAGCAAACAAAAACGAAGGCCAGAAGAGAACCCAAACCAACCCTAAGCCCTAAATGGCCCCGACCCCAAGCCATAAGAAATTTAGCGCTCCTAACGACTGCTCTGCAATCTGGGGTTCCCTATTTTTCGGAATCCCAGGAGTGCAAAGAACATAGTAGGGTTTAGTCTTTAGTCTTTAGGGTATAGGGTTTAGAATCTCAGGCTCATACGGGGCCCTTAGCCCTCCTTCCCACAGAATACTGGACGTACATGGAACATCGTGGGTACTAGGTTTGAGGGGGTTGCCTAAACAACCTAAGCCCTCCCTAAACCCGAACCTTGTCCAAGCAACCGAAACCCTCCCTAAACCCGAACCTTGTCTAAGCAACCGAAACCCTCCCTAACCCCTCCCTAAACCCTCCCTGAACCCTCCCTAAACCCTCCCTGAACCCTCCCTGAACCCTCCCTGAACCCTCCCTGAACCCTCCCTAAACCCTCCCTAAACCCCCTAAACCCCCCTGAACCTTGTCTAAGCAAAACAAGGCCAACCTTCGATTTCGCCTACTGGGCGGAGCATGTGGAGGAGGCCTCTGACTGAGGAAGTGCAGGGCTTAGGGTTTAGGGTTTAGGGTTTAGGGTTTTTGGTTTAGGGTTTAGGGTTTAGGGTTTCGGGTCTAGAGTTTAGGGTTTAGTGTTTGGGGTCTAGGGTTTAGGGTTAAAACCCTTAAGCCCTAACATTCACAGGTTTCCCTACTGCCCTCCCCCTAGGTTCCCTCCTTCAATATGGGGGGGAACCTAGGGGGGCTAGTATAGAGGGGTGGTAGGGGGAACCCATGAAGCGATGTTCAGCTCAGGCCCCCTGTGACCTTTTTGGAGCCGGGCTCGTTTGTAACAAAGGCCTCCCAAGAAGGGATCTTACTTCAGAGCACCCTCCCAACCCACCGCCAGACATCCTAATCGACCCAAGACACCTGGGGAATTCGTGAGAAGAACGCCCTACACCCGAAACCCTGAACCCTACACGGTTTAGGGTTTAGGGTTTAGGGTTTAGGGTTTAGGGTTTAGGGTTTAGGGTTTAAACCCTGAACCCTAAATGATCCTGAGGGCTTTTGGTAGAACCCGCGTTTCGTGTCGGCATCGGAGCCGGGGTTGCGTTTCGTTGGCATGGTGACTTCGGGTTCAGAGTTTAGGGTTCAGGGTTCAGGGTTCAGGGTTTAGGGTTTAGGGTTTAGGGTTTAGGGTTCAGGGTTCAGGGTTCAGGGTTCAGGGTTGAGGGTCAGTATTCATAAACCCTAAGCAACCTCTAAAGCCCTGGTTGCAACCTAACATGACGGTTCTTCGGGTTGAGGTGTTTGGGTAGTATTCAACAAAGTTCATGGGTAGTTACAAGTTACAAGTAGGATATGCATCTTAATGCATGTTCTCACGTACTGAGGCTACCGTAAGTACTCGGAGCTCTACTTACAACTACCCATGAACCTTCGGGTAAGTGATGGGCTTGGGGGAACCCTTGAAAGGGAACCTGATAAGGGTCTCGGGGTTTAGGGGTTTAGGGATTTAGGGGTTTAGGGGTTTAGGGGTTTAGGGTTTTCCGGGAGGATGTCGAGCTGCCAGGTCCAAAAGAACGCTGAGGATCGGAAATTCACGTGTGATGTGGCCATCGCCTCAGTCCCCGAAAGCCGACAATCGGGAAGACAGCAGTCTGAGGCCGAGCATCTTACCCCAAACCCCTAAGTATGCAGTTCTCCATATGGTGGTCCTTCCTATCGGCTATCGGGCTCAGAACTGTCAGTCGGAAGCTCAGGCGGGGCCAAATAAGTTGAAACCCTAAGCCCTAACCCTCAACCCCAAACCCTAATTCCTAAACCCTACAGTAAACCCTAAACCCTAAACCCAAAGCCTCTTTTGGGGGTTTAGGGTTCAGGGTTTAGGGTTTGGGGCTTAGGGCCCACAATTATTTTTTAGAGGGTTTAGGCTTTAGGGTCCAGTCCAGTTGCAGAAAGGTCTAGGGTTAAGGCTCGTAACTCAGAAGCCAAAAAGGAACGGGTACCCTTTGTGTCCTCCTAGGTCGCGCAGGGCCCCTCTGGGCCCCTGCGCAACCAGTCCCTGAATCGAGGTTTCTTAAGGGATATAAGGGGACACCCCTAGAAGGGACCCTGAATCTTATCTCACTTTTGTATACCCCTTTCTGCACCGTATTTCGCTCCTCTACCTAAGTAGCCCCTACAGTACCCCTCAGGTCCCTTACAATGGTCCCTCCTTGAGTCCCTTGAGTTTCGTTATGCTCCCCGAAACGGGTGTCGCCTTCCTGAGGCCAGGATCGTGGACATTTACCAGGCTCCGAACGCGTGGTGGGACTTGGGTTCAGGGTAAAATATCCCTGCTATCCCCCTACGTCAACTGAGCTTTCTTGCGCTGTGAGCGCATTAGGCGGTCTCCACCTTGGATGACACATGCCCAAGCATTGAACCCCAGTCACAGCATCCAGACCCTCCTCAGCATTGTTCCCTGAGGGTTTGAGGTTTAGGCTTAGCGTTTCTGCCGCTTACCACGGTCCTTGCACTCAATAGTGGTCACACGTGTCCGAAGGATTGAGATCAAGGGGGGCTGCTGCATCTTTGCCATTGAGAGCCTTCTCACCAGCATGGCGCGCACCAAGGTGACGGCACAGAAGCATCTCAGTAGTCCATGGGCAAAGCTTCTAAGTTTCTTAGTGCTCAATCTGATACATGAGGCCATAGCTGAAACTGGGACGACGAAATCTGGAGTTCGAAGCCTAAGACATGTTTCTGACCTAAGGTACCGCCTAAACCCTACAACCTACAGCCTACACCCTAAACCCTAGACGGACGACGAAGGTCTGCTGGTGGAAAGGCAGCACGTGGTGATTTGGTTGCAAAGGCTGCGCGAAAGGCGGCGCCTGCCATTGGCACCATGAAGAAGATCCATGGCCGAAATGTGCGTTGTGTGTGTGTAATGTAGCTCCCCTATTCCGTAAGGAACACATGAATGCCACAAGGGCAAACGACATATTTCTCATGTCTTGTGGAGAAACAAACCTAAACCCTAATCAAAGGACCACCCGCTACCGTCCCGGCGTCCTGGCCCTGCGAGAGATCCGAAAGTACCAGAAGTCGACCGAGCTGCTGATTCGCAAGCTTCCCTTCCAGCGCCTCGTGAAGGAGATCGCGCAGGAAGCTTAGTAGAGTAGGGAGCCTTTCACCTTTTTGGGGTAATATAATCTCCTTTTAGTCCCAAAGGTAAACCTTCAGTTCCGCCAGGTTACTGGACAACTAAGGAAGTCAAGTCTGACCTCAAGTTCCAGACCCAGGCGATCCTGGCGTTGCAGGAGGCCGCTGAGGCGTTTCTCGTTGGGCTCTTCGAGGACACGAACCTGTGCGCAATCCACGCCAAGCGCGTCACGATCATGCCAAAGGATATCCAGCTAGCCCGTCGGCTCAGAGGCGAGCGAACGTGAGCCCGGCAAAAGGGCAGCCAGGGACCAGGACGAGACGGCTGCACTCCCCTACATCCTGCATTGAAGTCGATACATTCTGTATACATATTCATGTATGTATGTATTCTCAGAAGAGAGAGAGGGTGTCGACCAAATTGGGGGTGGCCGTCGTCGTCGCTTTAGCATGTAGCGCCTAAGTGTGGCTGGTGAAGAAATGCCGCGGCTTGCCCAGCGGGCCAGCAGCACGGATTAGGGTTTAGGGTTTGGGGTTTAGGGTTTAGGGTTTGCACTGGAAGTGAGAAGCAGTGAAAGGCCAAAGCCTCTTGAAATGTTGCTAGACAAGTTTGACCGTGCTGCTGCGCTGTTGGGCGTCTGTCCAGGATCTCGGTGGCTGACCCCTCAGAGCCCGGAGCCGTCCGGTTCTCTTGTCGTTCTTTCTGGGTTCCCCACACCCAGAGGCCCAGAAGCCCGAAGCCCTACAGTTTCAGCCGTGTGCAGAGGCAGGCCCTTAAATACTCTACCAATCCCTAAATCCTAAACGGATCGGAGAGGACCCGAGGCCATCCGACAAGTCATTTCAAATTTCACGTGACGTTGAAGGCAGCTTCCTCTGCGCGCATTGCGTTAGAGGCTTCTCGGTTCTTGTCAGGTATATAACTCAGCCAGCTGCTGCAGTCCGATTTCAGAAGGATTTGTCCAAGTTTAGCGTTTGCACTTATGAACACTTCGTTGCTGCCGCTGCCTCCTCTGTTTCGCAGATTGGGGGGATCTCCTGCGCAAGAGGACACTGCCACACGCCTTTCTGCGGCAAGAAAACAGAGGTGCAATGCATGCGCAATGTTAAACCCAACCCTAAATGAGCATTTCCCAAAGTAGGGGTACCCCGATTATTCCCCAAAATATTCTAATCCTTATTATGGGAACCCCTAAACAGGGTACCCCTAAACAGGGTACCCCTCCTTATACTAACAGTCCTGAGTGGGGATTATAACGGGGGGTATGATATTCCTTTAAATTAAAAGCCTATAAGCATCAGGGGGAACATTCCAATGAAATTCGAAGGCACCCCTATATTCGGAAACCCTAACCCTAACCCCCCCCCCCCCCCCAATCCCCGTTGCTTCTGCAGTCCTCCGCTCGTTACATGGCAGGAGCAGCGGACCTCCGCTTTCGAGCTGCAGCAGCCCCCGCCGCGCTTTTTTGGGTTTAGGGTTTAGGGTTTAGGTTTTAGGGTTTAGGACCTTGTGAGTCCTCGCAGTGTCTTGATTTGCCTGAAAATGCGGGCATACAAGCTTTAATTGAGCAGCAACGATTAAGGCGCTTAGCTATCCGTGACTTACGTCGCATTTCTAGGGTCTTCTCTGCGAAGTTGTAGTCTGGCTGTTGCTGCATGCGCTTGCTCTTACTCACCGTAATTTGCACACTTCTGACTGTCCCGCTTACACTTTCTTCACGGGGGTAGCCACGAGAGCTGTCCCTGGCAGGCTTGACGTTTCGAATGCCTGAGAGAGAGAGAGGGTTTAGGGTTTAGAGCCCCAAGCCTGAATCCCTGGACCTTGGCAACGACTGCAGCCTGGGAAGTTTAGAGCCTTGCCCTGCTTCCTGAGCCGCTCGCCCTAAACCGTACACCCTAAACCCCATACCGTAAACCCCAAACCCAAAAGCTATGGGAGCCAAAGGCCCAAACTTTGGGTTTAGGGACAGTTTGGAAAGGCCGGCGGATCCTACCTCCAACCTATATCCGCTGAGGGAATCTGTAAATTAGGATCCCTCAGACCCCCTCTGGGTAATGTAATATGGTTTTGGGGGGTTTATTATCGTCGTATAGTTATATATAGGGACTACCAAGGACCCTAAACCCCCTAAACCCCCTAAACCCCCTCAACCTCCTAAACCCCCTAAGCCCCCTAAACCCCCTAAACCCCCTAAACCCCCTAAACCTCCTTAACCCCCTAAACCCCCTAAACCCCCTAACCCTAAACCCCTAAACCACTGACTATTCCGACCCCCTAAAGTGCAGACTAGGGGGTCCACAGGTGGAGTCCCAGGGATCAAGGTGAGCTGTTCATGCTGGGGGAGGTTCGGCTTGGGAGTTTAGGGTTTAGGGGGTTTGGGGTTTAGGGTTTAGGGTTTAGGGTTTAGGGTTTAGGTACCTCGTTCAAAACAAGGGTTTAGGATCCCTTCCCCTCCAGGCAGCTGGCGAAGAAGCGGAACGAGAACGCCAAGCCGGGCCCCCCAAAGCAACCCCAGGGGTGTTTGGTTGCAGGCCCTCTCCTCAGTATTATTCTGATTCTTTACTAGTATGTTTACTTTTTTGGTTTCTGGGTTCCTTATAGTAGGTAAGGTAAGTAACCCAAGAAGCATGCATTTTCCCTGGGTCACTGGAAACCTTAGTTCACAAGGCTTAGGGTTTCAGAGTTTACCATATTTTCGTACGGCACTGGGTCAAAATTCTGGGGCTGGCCAGCAGAACCTTGGGATGGCCCCCCCTTACAATCGCAGTCCTCAAAAGGGATACCAGAACCCTAAACCCTAAACCCTAAACCGCCTAAACCCTAAACCCTAACCCTAATCCCGATGAAGGACTGTTTGTATAAGGGGGGAACATCCCAAGCTGAACCTTGCGAGGCATGTCGGGCCTTGCGGACTTAGAAGGCTGAGAAAATAGAAAGGCCCAAACCTAAACCCTAAACCCTGTTGGCAAGGAGTTTCGGGTTGTGCTGGGTGGCTCTTTCCTTCATAAAAGCCTCGGATGCTGTCAACGCAGGGCAGTGAAACCTGAAATCATACACCCCGAACCCTAAACCCTAAACCCTTTAAACCCCAAACATCTGACGCACGAGCTTAGGGTCTACAGGGGATAAGCTTTCGGGCCAGTTCGGGGGGGTCCATCCAATCTGACTTGCATGTGGAGATTTAGTTGCTGAGGTTTAGGGTTTAGAGTTTCGGGATTGGGGTTACAAAGGTTAGCCTTTCAATTCAATAGGGTCAGAATGATATGCACCCCAAAAGGTTAAATGTTACCTACTCAGCTACCAAGACGAAGGAGGCTTCTTGACACACTTTCCTCGGTAGGCCCTTGGGATATTAGTGTTTTGCCTTGTTGGGTTCGAGAGGATCATATTCAGGAATATTTTTCAGAGGGTTTTTAAAGGGCAATCCAAGTTTCCAATCTCGTATGAGGAAAGCAAAGCTTTGTGCTTGAAAAACCTCTGCTCCAGCGGGTCCGTGGAATACACTTGGATAAAGTTGCCGCCGATAAGGTGCAGGAGAGGTAAAATTCTGCTCTCTCCTTGTCAAATGCCAAAAACCTTTTCTTCCAATGATTGGACACAATGAGACCTAATGCTTCAGCCTTTCAATCAACCCCATGTCTCCACCATCACGAGCCCATGCATCATAAAGACCGCCTAGCTAGACGGCCTTTTTCCAGGCAACACCAATTCCTGGAGTAAGTAAACGCGAGCGAAGTTTAGCTGTAGTACGGAATCTATCTTGCAACTCATACTTGAAGGTTCATGCATACTTATAGCTAGGGTTCTAAGTGCCGTAGTTAAGGTATAGTAGTTACCTTACTGATAACACTACTTATAGCTACCCATGAACCTTCAAGTCAGCAAAGATGGCACCGAAGCTTCTTTCGTCGAGTCTTCCGATCAAAGGACTAAAGGAGGGCCCCTCGTAAGGGACCTTGGGGATTATCTAGGGGCTACTTAGGTGTGTAGGCACTATACAAGAAGTATATATATATATATATATATTTATATTTATATACTTGCATTTTATATTTATTAATTTGTTAATTTATTAATTTATTCATTTATTCATTTATTCATTTATTCATTTATTCATTTATTCATTTATTGATTAATTTATTTATTAATTTATTAATGTATTAATGTATTAATTTATTAATTTATTAATTTATTACTTTATTAGTTTATTAATTTATTAGTTTATTAATTTATTAGTTTATTAATCATTTAATTATTATTTATAATTATTAATTTATTAATTTATTAATTTATTAATTTAGTAATTTATTAATTTATTAAATTTATTAATTTTTTAGTTTATTAATTTATTAAATTATTAAGTTATTAATTTATTAATTTATTAATTTATTAGTTTACTAATTTATTAGTTTTTTAATTTATTAATTTATTAACTTATTAATTTATTAATTTATTAATTGATTAATTTTTTAATTGAACAAATAGGGTTATATAGGGGAATAATTTCCTCCTTGTACCCCCTTCATCCGAGACACCCGGGGGAGCATCTGAGGTCCATGAAGGGGAAGATGGAGCCCGAGCAGAGGCAGACCCTGATCGCCGAGGGCAAGCGCATCAAAGAGGCCAAGGGTTTAGGGTTTGGGGTTTAGGGTTTAGGGTTAGGGTTTGGGGTTTAGGGTTTAGGGTCTCCGGGTTGAGGGCAGGGATGCATTCCAGGCCCTGATTTTAACATGTTTGTTTAACATTTGTGTTTTTTGGTTTTAGGGTTTTGGGAGTAATCTGGCATTGAGCCAGCAACGGTTTCAAAAAGGGCTCAACTCGAGGGCTCAGGTTTGAGGAAAGAAGTTCTGGATCCTCGTCGTGAGTTTCTGGGACTTCCTGAAACTCCTAGAACCACCTGCCTTGATCCCTCAACTCCTGGACGGTGGAAGAAATTTGGAAGCAGGCAAGCAATTGAATTGAGTTTAGGCCTAATCCCTAAAAGGAACAGGTTGGGGTGGGATAAAAAGTGTTAGATGGCCCTCCACACGGGCCATGGCTGCTCTTCGCATTTCACGAAGTTTTTCGAAGAGTTTGCATCCCAATCTTCAGCTTCTGCGCCGCCATATTGCATCATGTCATGGGTTCCCTCTATACTACCCCCCCCCCCCCCCCCCCTTAGGCTCCCCCCGTAGTTAAGGCTAGCTCTGCTGCTGCGGAGAGTCCAGCACCACCCTAGCACCACGAAATCCTCAGACCCTAAACCCTGAACCCTAAACCCTAAACCCTAAACCCTAAACCCTAAAC